GGTTTTCCCTGGCAGTTGAATAATATGAAGTCTCTTTCCCTTGAAGGAGTTATGTTTAGGAACAGGTGGGCAAATAATTTCAGAGTTGTGTGTTGCATGTTTAGATCTATTTATAAGGTATTTCAGATCATGAAGGAAGAGTTTTAGTCTTGTGCTGGGCTATGAAAACAGGGTATCTACGAAGGCTTCCTGGAGGATGTCAGACAGAGTTTAACTTTGTAGGAAGTGCAAGAATCAAGCAAAGAAATCCATTCTAGGTAGACTAAAAGGGTTCAACAATGGTATGGAGGCAGGTAAAAATGTGACAGAGGAACTGTAAACCCTTTTATGATAAAAGATTAAAAGATATTTCAGAGATTTGTTCTTTCAGACTTTAGTGTTACAAAGGATTCCCATGCTTGGCCATTTTTTCCCAAGGCAGAGAAAAAGAGATAAAACATTAAAATTATTAAAGTCAACATACACGATTATTTATTATTTTAACATCAATCCAATTGAAATTATGCAAAGAATGTTTGTTGTTTTAAAATATGTTTTGGCCTGTGTAATAATGGAATACACCAGGAAACTAAAATAGTATTTATGGTTAATAGTAAGAAAAATGCAAAACTATCGTTACTTGAATATGACGAGAATTTATGGAAAATATAAAAGGATCAAACTGTTAGAACTAAGACGTAAATTCAATTTATCTATATGAATAGTAAAGGTGCAAAACTTGACAGGTGTCTTATATCACTAACAGTTAGTGAATATAACGTAGAAGAAGACTCCATTCATAACAGGAGCAAAAATTTAAATGTTTGGAAGTAATCTCAACAAGAATGCTTCTAAACTGAACTCATCTGAATATTTTTGCTGAGAGATTTAAAAGAAGACTTAAAAATGGAGAGACATATCAAGTCCACAGATGGGAAAATTGAATATGGTAAACCAATTCTTCCTTTTTTAGATATTATGCAAATCTAGTTAAAAATCATAGTATATATTTTTGAATTCAATAATATGAATTTATGACTGACTCCAATTATTGAGAACTGTAAAGAAAAAATTTTAAGTTTAAGAGCTAGTGTATACTCAACTATACTATTTATCATCAGTTACATGGTGTTTTTTCTAGCAATTTTCTTTAGGAAAGTAAAAATCTGGAAAAATCATTTATTTTTTTAAAAAGTCTTCATCACATTATATTTAAACAGGCTTTTTACTTAGGCTTAGAGAATGATTACAAATATAGTTCTCATACATCTTATATCTAGTTTTCATATTATTAACATCTTAACTTAGTATTATACATTTGTCACAATGAATGGACCAACACTGATGTATTATTATAAACTAAAGTTCATACTTTATTCATTTTTCCTTAGTTTTTACCTAATGTCCCTTTTTCTGTTCCAGGATTCCACATTACATTTAGTTGTGATAGCTCCTTGTGTTCCCCTTAGCTCTGGTGGTTTCTCGGACTTACCTTGCTTTTGAATGACCTTGAATAGTTTGAGAAATACTGGTCGGGAACGTTGTAGCATGAACCTCAACTGGGATTTGTGTGATGTTTTTGTAATGATGAGACCGGGTTTATTGGTTTAGTGCACAAAGGCGGAGTATCATTTTCATCACATCATATCAAATGTGAGCTCTATCAACATGACTTAACACTCTTGCTGTCAGTCTTATTACCAGGCTGAGGTAGTCTTTTTTTTTTTTTTCAGGTTTTTCTACTTTTTACACATTTCTCCCTCCTTTTGAATACTGTATTCTTTGGAAGGAAGTCACCATGTACAGATCATACTTAAGGAACGAGAAACATTACTTTTGAAAACAAATTTAGCAGCCTTAACTCCAGAAATATAAGACTGGTTAATTTTGGTATTTCTGTCATAGAGCTCATTATATAATCATTAAAAATAACATTTTAAAAACTCAATTTTATGTCAGGGAAAATATTTATAACAAAATAAATGAAAGAGGTACTGCATATGCAACATAAAACTCATTATTGCCAAAATATACAGATGTAAAACAAAATAGTATGAAAATAGTGTTTATAAGGTCAATTTAACAATCCTTTTACATTTCTGATTTTCCAAATTCACTACAACTTATTTTATAATCAGAAATGTAATTTTCAAAAACTAAATGAAAATAGTTTTTCCACTAAAGGGATATGTTTACCAGATGGGCTGGACATATTTATGTTGGCTGGACAGTGTATTTACTCCTTGAAATGGGGCTGGAAGTCCACAGAGAAGTTTTTCTCTGCTCTCTTTGTCTTCCATAATAAGTGACCCCCTATAACACACATTCCCAGACTCACACCTAAGTAAATACTTGCTTTCTTCAAGATTGTTTAACAGCATAGAAGTACAACTTTAGAAATACTAATGTTGATCTATTACTTAACTCGTAATCGAATTTTATGCTTTTGTTGATTATTCATCAGTAGACATAGATTAAATAAGGGATCTCATCAATTGAAAACTGAAAAAAAAATTTTTTGGTTGCTTAGTATGTTATCAAATTCTAGATTGACTTCTTGCTGCCACAAAATTTAATTAATCTTTTTATTTAGAGAACATTATCCATCCACATGCTGTTCTAAGAAATTATACACAATGATCCCTTAAACTCTTTATGCAGTTGTCCTGAATAGTAGCATCTGGCAAGATTATAGTGTAATATCACAACCAGAAGATTGACTTTGGTACAATCCACTGATCTTATGAAAATTTTCTCAGTTTTACTTGTACTCGTTTGTGTGTGTGTGTGTGTGTGTGTGTGTGTATTTACTTCAAATTTTATCAGAGGTGTAGTTCTGTGTATCTACCACCATAGTCAATATAGGAACAGTTCCATCACCACAAGGATATCTCGTGTTGATGCTTTATTACTGTACCCACTCCCTTCTGACCACCAGCTCCCATATCCAATCCCTGGAAACCACTAATCTGTTCATTTTCATAATTTTATTATTTCAAAAATGCTATATCAATAGATTAATATAGTCTGTGACCTTTTGAGGTTAGTTTTCTTCCCCCACTCGGCCTACAATTCCCTTGAGATTCATCCAAATTGTTGCATGTAATGATGGTATGATGGTTCCTTCCTTTTTATTGCTGGGTAGTATGGCATGAATGTACCACTGCTTGTTTAAATATTCATCCACTGAATAATGTCTGTGTTATTTTTGTTGTTTGTAGTTTTTTTTACTATTACAGGTAAAGCTGCTATTAACAGTTCATGCAGGTTTTGATGTGAACATAATTCTTCATTTCTACAGCATAAATGCCCAAGAATGTTTCACTGCATGCTTTGTGTTCAAGGATCTGCCAAATATTTTCCTTTAACTGATCCTCCTACATATCCTATTAGAAAAAAAAATAGCAAAATATAACAGTAATGAAAAGGCTTGTTACAAATAGCCAGAATAGATATAGACACACAAATATTTTTAATTTAAACTGTATGGAAGCATGGTATGCATTTTGAAGCATATGATCATAAGTGTAGTTTAATGACTTTGCACAAAGTGAACACATCTATGTAATAGATGCACTCAGAGCAGGTTATAGAATATTACTGGAATCTCTGAAGACTGCTTAGACCCTTGCTAGTACTCTCCATGTTGTACACCCCTAGGATAGCCACATTCCTGATTTTTGACACCATGATATGTTTTTATCTACTTTTGAACTTTGCATAAACAGATTTACATAGTCTGTACTTCTGCATCTGGCTCCTTTAGTTTAACGTTGTGTTTGTGAGATTAATTCATACTATAACATTTCAGGGCATGTAGCAGAGTTCATGTTGTGCAATGTTTCATTGTATTAACTATCAAATTAAGTCACCCATTCTACTGTTAACCACATCTGATTGTTTCTTGTTTCTAGATATTATAAATAATATTGCTATGAACACTCTTGCATGTATTACCTTGTGAACCAAAGAATCATTTCTTTTAAGTGTGCCCTTATGAGAAGAATTGCTGGCTCAGGTAGTATGCATATATTCAGCTTTAGTAGATGTGACCAAATAGTTTTCCAATGTGATAGTGCTAATTTGTGCTCTCACTAGCAGTGTATAAGAGCTACCTATCCAAATATGTGTTGTAAATTTCCTTTTACACTGGAAAACAGATTGAAGATACTAAAAAGTTTCTTAATGTCACACAACTGAAGGGAAAAGACCCTGGTTTTAACCAAGGTTTCGTAAATCCAGTCATATTTATTTTCTAACTTACTATCATGTCAAACACTTGACTTTAATCACTGTAACTACCTCCCACTTTTTCCATAAATGAATTCCCATACACTTTGTGTCTCTAATGTTCTTCTACTGAAAGACTAACCCAGGAGGAACATGGGTGCCTCCCTAACTCTGCCAACTCAGCCATCTCCTCTTACTTTTTTTTTTAACTTTAAAACAATATACATTTATTGTCTCACACATTTCTTGACTTAGTTCTCAATGTCAAAATTCTGGGAACAGTGTGGCTCAATGGGGTCCTCTGATTAGAATCTCATAAAACCTAAAACAAGTCCTGTGTTTCCTTCTAGACACTTGGGATGAATCCACTTCTAAGTTAATTCAGGTTGTTGGCCAAGTTCACTGTCTTGCAGCTGTAGGATAGGGGTCCCCATTTCCTTGCTGGCTGTCGGCTGGAAACCAGTCTTTGTTCCTAGAGCCTGTCCACATCCTTCCTATACTCAATGTGTGCACTTCCAGTAATGGCAGATAGAGTACCTCTCATGCTTGGAATCCCTCTGACTTCGGCTGCATCTCTCCTTAACCATAGCCACAGAAAATTCTTTGCATTTAACAGAGTCTGTGATTAGACTGAATCAACCTGAAAAATCCAGAATAATCTATAAAGACTCTTTGTCATGTAACATGGATTAGAGACTATACATCTTTTTGGGGGAAGTGGGAGCATTATTCTATCTACTACATTGCATGTATCTGTAGTTTCTTTCAATTTTTTATTTTTCCCTATGTTACTGGAGTACAGGTGGTGTTTGATCACATGAGTAAGTTCTTCAGTGGTGATTTGTGAGATTTTGGTGCACCCATCACCTGGGCAGTATACACTGCATGCACCCTATTTGTAGTCTCATATCCTTTGCCCCACCCATCCTTCCCCACCAGTCCCCAAAGTCCATTGTTTCACTCTAATGCCTTCGAATCCTCATAGGTTGACTCCCACATATCAGTGAGAACACACAATATTTGATTTTCCATTCCTGAGTTACTTCACCTAGAATAATAGTCTCCAATCTCATCCAGGTCATTGCAAATGCTGTTAATTCATTCCTCTTTATGGCTAAGTAGTTTTTCATCATATCACCACAGTTTCTTTATCTACTCATTGATTGATGGGCATTTGGGTCAGTTCCACGATTTTGCATTTGTGAATTGTGCTGCTATAAACATGTGTGTGCAAGTATCTTTTTCTTATGATTTTTTTTCCTCTGGGTAGATACCCAGTAGTGGATTGCTGGATCAAATGATACTTCTACTAACTTTCATTTAGTTCTGCTCTGATTTTGCTTATTTCCTTTCTTCTGCTGGATTTGATTTGTTCTTGTTTCTCTAGTTCCTTGAGCTGTGGCCTTAGAATGTCAGTTTGTGCTCTTTTAGTCTTTTTGATGTAAGCATTTAGGGTTATGAACGTTCCTCTGAGCACCACCTTTGCTGTATTCTAGAGGTTTTGATAAGTTGTGTCACTGCCATCATTAAGTTTGAAGAATTTTTTAATTTCCTTCTTGATTTCACTGTTGACCCAATGATCATTCAGGAGCAGGTTATTTAATATCCACGTATTTGCATGGTTTTGAAGGTTCCTTTTAGAGTTGATTTCCAATTTTATTCCACTATGGTCTGAGAGACTGCTTAATATAATTTCAATTTTCTTAAATTTATCGAGGCTTGTTTTGTGGCCTATCATATTGTTTATCTTGGAGAAAGTTCCATGTGCTGTTGAATAGAATGTGTATTCTGCAGTTGTTGGATAGAATGTTCCACATATATCTTTTAAGTCCATTTGTTCTGAAGTATAGTTTAAACCCATTGTTTCTTTGCTGAATTTCTGTCTTGATAACCTGTCTAGTGCTGCTAGTGAAGGACTGAAGTCCCCTACTCTTTTTGTGTTGCTATCTCATTTCTTAGGTTTAATAGTAATTGTTTTATAAATTTGGAAGCTTGAGTATTAGGTGCATATGTGCTTAGGATTGTGATATTTTCCTGTTGGACAAGGCCTTTAACCATTATATAATGTCTCTCTTTGTTTTTTTCAACTGCTGTTGCTTTAAAGTTTGTTTTCTCTGATGTAAGAATAATTGCCCCCCACTCCATTTTAGTGTCCATTTGCATGAAATGCCCTTTTCCACCCCTTCACTTTCAGTTTATGTGAATCCTTATGTGTTAGGTGAGTCTCTTGAAGGCGGCAGATAACTGGTTGGTGAATTCCTACCCATTCTGCAGTTCTGTATATTTTAAGTGAAGCATTTAGGCCGCTTTCATTCAATGTTAGTATTGAGATGTGAAGTACCATTCCGTTCATCATGCTATTTTTTGCCTGTATGCCTTGGTTTCTCAATTTTTGCTTTTGCTTTTCAAATTGTATTTATGTTTTATAGGTTCTGTGATATTTATACTTTAAAGAGGTTCTGTTTTTATGTGTTTCCAGGATCTGTTTCAAGAGTTAGAGCTCCTTTTAGCAGTTCTTGGAGTAGTGGCTTGGTAGTGGCAAATTCTCTCAGCATTTGTTTGTCTGAAAAAGACTGTATCTTGCCTTCATATATGATGTTCAGTTTCAGTGGATACAAAAGTCTTTGCTGGTAATTGTTTTATTTGAGGAGGCTGAAGATAGGGCCCCAACCCCTTCTAGCTTATAGGATTTCTGCTGCAAAATCTGCTATTAATCTGATAGGATTTTCTTTTTAGGTTACTCGGTGCTTTTGTCTCACACCTCTTAAGATTCTTTACTTTGTCTTACTTTAAGTAACCTGAAGACAATGTGCCTAGGCGATGATCCTTTTGTGACGAATTTCTTTGTGCTTCTTGTGTATGGATGTCTGGGTCTCTAGTAAGGCTGGGGAAGTTTTCCTTGATTACTTCCCCAACTATAGTTTCCAAACCTTATTAGATTTCTCTTCTTCCTCAGGAACACTGATTAATCTTAGGCTTGGTAGTTTAACATAATCCTAGGCTTCATGGAGGCTTTGTTCATATTTTCTTATTCTTTTTTTTTTTTTTGTCTTTGTTGGACTAGGTAAACTCTAAGACTTTGTTTTCATGCTCTGAATTTCTTTCTTCTACTTGTTCAATTCTATTGCTGAATCTTTCCAGAGCATATTGCATCTCTATAAGGGTATCCAGTGTTTCCTGAAATTTTGGTTCTTTTTTCTTTATACTATCTATTTCCCCAAATACTTTAAACTATCTATTTCTCCCTTCACCTCTTATATTGCTTTTTGGATTTCCTTGAATTGGGCTTCACCTTTCTCTGATACCTCCCTGATTAGCTTAATAACTAACTTCCTGATTTATTTTTCAGGTAAATCAGGGATGTATTCTTGGTTTGGATTCATTGCTGTTGAACTAGTGTGATTTTTTTTGTGAGTATTAAAAAGTCTTGTTTTGTCATATTACTAGACTTGCTTTTCTAGTTCCTTCTCATTTGGGCAGTCTCTGTCAGAGGGAAGGTCTAGGGCTGCAGGCTATTGCCCAGACTCTTTTGTTCTGTAGCCTGTTCTCTTGATGTCATACTACCTCTCTTTCCCTGTGGATGTGGCTTCCTGAGAGCTGAGCTGTAGAGATTGTTAACTCCCTTCTGGGTCTAGCCACCCAGCAAGTCTACCAAGCTCTGGACTGGCACTGGGGGTTGTCTGCACTGAGTCCTGTGATGCGAACTGTCTGTGGGTATCTCATCCATGGATATCAGCACCTGTTCCAGTAGAAGTGGCAGCGGGGTGAAATAGACTCTGTGAGGGTTCTTAGCTTTGGTTGTTTTGTGCTTTAGTTTTGTGCTCGTAGCACTTTCTAGGGAGCATCAGCTGTGGGAGTATGAAGAGGAACTGGCACTGGATGGGGCCCTAGAACTCCCAAGAGTATATGCCCTTGATATTAAGCTACCAAGGTGGCTAGGGAAGAACCACTGGGTGGAGGCAGGGCTAGGTGTGTTTGAGCTCAGACTATCCTTGGGCAAGTCTCCTCTTACTTTTGATCAACTGTAATAACGTGCCACATACATCACTTCACTGAATACCTGTGTTTCAGTATTTAACTTCTAACTATTCTTAGTTTAATTTGTCATCTATAATCTAGGATCTTTGAGAATTAATATATATTTCTTTCCTATAGATCCTCCTTATCAATGCAGTTACAGATCAATTAGAGTTTGTTAAATTTAACTGATATCTATCTATGTCAAGGTTAAAAGGATCAACTAAGATTTAAATGAGATAGTAGACCAATCCAAAGTAAAGTAAAAAAAACACAGAAAGTTTTGAAGAAAATCCAGCATACCTACAGTCTGAGTTGGGAGACATATTGAATCCCAAAATATTGAGCAGAGCTGAATTTTATTTTGTAACATTTTAAAATTTGCCAATTTCAATAAATGTGGGCCAAATTAAAAAAAAAACCAAAAAACCTCAGATAACAAATTAAGTGAAATATATTACTTGAAAGAAATGTAAATTAAGAGTAAGAAGTTGTATTCTAAAAGTTGACTTTAGATGAGATTTGAAAAACAGATCGAGAATAATGAAATGAAATTATTCTCAATTATAAGGGCCACATAATGGAAATAGATTTTTACCTCTGGAGAGGAGAAGGTTTTCTTGAGTTCATATCTCTTTAGAGGGTACCTACTAAATATACCAGAGTGTTTTAGATACTTTGATATGAATTAACAAATGGAAGAAGGAAGACATAATCTAAAGCCATTAGAAACTCAAAGAAAAGCATGGTCAATAGTTGTATTAAAAGTTTAAAGGCAATTAATATGAGATAGCCTTGGCTTGAGGTTTTTAGGGCTTCTATTAAATGTATAGAATAATATCCTATATTCTTGCATACAAAAAGAACCTACAATTACCATATTTTAATTATAATATTTCATCACCAAAGCAATTCACATTTCTAATCTTATTTAATCCTATAATTTTCTGTTGTATAAAAGCAATTTGTATCAAGTCCACTTTGCAATGGAAAAACTGAATTTGCACCATGAGTAAGTGGTGAGATTAAACATAAAATATGTTGATCTTGGCATGGATTATAAACAATAAATTTCTCCTTGGACTGTGACCAGTGAAAGAAAAAAAGTCACTTAGGCAGGATTTCAGTATTTGACCTGAGGTCATCTTACTTGAACATTTACATTTCTCTATGTAATAATGAGGCTACTTGAATTATTTCTGTGAAATTTAATTTTCTTTGGTGAAATATTAAAGGCAAGTGGCTGAAGAAAACAAGCAGATAATTGTATAATAAGCATGAATGGATGCTAAACTTTTTGTGATCAAGGCAATCCAAATTATAATAATAAAACACAAGTTCCACTCATCAGATTGCCAAAATTAAAGGATTTATAAAACCTAATTTTTGTAAACATCATCATTAGTGGAAATAGAATGGCTACCAAACTTTTCAAGAGTAATCAAAACATAAAATACACCTCTTTTCACTTAGCAATTTATTTCTAAAATTTACAACTTTAAAATACCTACTGAAGTGTTTAATGACATGTATATGTGATTGTGTTGTGTGTGTGTATATATATGTGTATATAGGTATGTGTATATATTTATATATAAATGATTTCATGTGCATATCAGTATTATTTTAAATAGAAATCAATTGGAGAAAATGTGGAAAACCATTTTAATTTATTATTGAATATTAAGTAGCCATTAATAATAACCACAGGCATTTATGTACTACCTTAGTGAATTCAGATTGCTAAATATAAAAAGTTGCACCAGATATGTATATGACCTAATTTTGTATTTTGTAAACTAATAATACATAGAGTATACCTTATATATACAATGTGGAAAAACATATGTGTGTATG